AACATGATCACTCCATCTCGCGCCAATTCTTTTCAGAATTTCTTTTAATTCATCTTTCTTTGGTACACCATCATCACCTTCTTTAATAGTAAGAATTATTTAATTATATTATTATATTGTATAGATTTTCTGACCAATTATTGTTCGTATATTCTAATCAATTATTATTGACTCACGTGATTTGTTTCCGCTTTAGACGAGCTCTATAATTGAATAATAATATCAGATCGTTTTTATAAATCGATATTCATTATTTATTCCATCACTTGCATGATTAAGCAAGTGATACGTTATTTTTGCATGTCACTGTATATTTCGACATAATTTTGGCTAGCATTAAGAATTAATCGCAATTCAGGCCAAACATGTAAAATTTTGATAAATTATGTGGCTTAAGTCATTTAGTCATGTGACTCTATAATAAATGTAATATATAGGTGGCACTGTCCTTCGCGCTCTGAGAATGTGCTCCTTCGCACTCCTCTTTGGAAGAGTATTTCGGGAGCGCTGTTTGTGAAAAATTTTTCTATGAAAGGTTTATTGTCTTCAGCTTTGGCTTTGGAGTATCATAAGTCAAGGAATCTATTATCGCAGGGGGGGGGGGGGGGGGGGGGGGGGTTGGTTAAAAATAATACTTTGTGCAATAATACAATCTTGTGCTTTCAAATATGTTAGCGATAATTAAACAAATTAAATCAGCCAGCATTAAAGAAATTAAGCTATATAATTGCAGGCTTAAGTCATGTGACTATAATAAAACCCTCCGAAATTCAAATGAATGTCAAGGTGATCCGAACTTGTTTTGCCGTGGCTAAGTTATTTCCCAACAAAAAATCCTTTTATTATAAAACCGTTTCATTCGGAAGAATGGGAAGGGAAGTTGGTGGGCAATATGGTAATCCGAATACTCTTGTTCCCAAACCAATAATTATGCGAATTGAAGTATGTATTATAGTTACATGAACTTAGTTTTGATCAAAATAAAGAATCATCTGTAAAATTTGCCTAAATATTTTCAAAATTGAGCATAAAAGACCTGACAGCGTAATTCGCTTGTTGTGTTTATTAAATATTTCAGAATTAATCAATATATTACTGTTTTATTCAAAACTATTGTTTGAATAAAATACATTTTGCCTACCTAACTTAATTCCTTTAATTCCTCTAAAGTGAACGGCTGCACATCACTAGTCTCAATTATATTAGCGTCTTGCATTTGGATTACCAACGGCGCCACATTTTCATTTCCGTTTTGATGTTCATCGTCATTTTCATTCATCTTTACAACAATACCACTCATGTCTTCATCTGCAGCAACATCCGAATTCAACATCGATTTCCATATCCATCTGACGAGCATTGGTACATTTTGACACAATTGCAATACCTGGGTCATCTTCCGGTCGTATTCAGCACTTTCGCCCTGCAGCGTCATCACGTATGGTTGTCCGTCCTCGGCTAGTATCACTATTTGTAATGATAACGGAGGTTGCTTGGGAAGCTCGAGGGTGAGTAGCATTTGTTTGGGTGGTTCTTGGGTCATGACTTTGATATTGATAGATGATGAAATATTTTCTTTTATTGAGAAAATACAGAAAAAGTATTAGTGATTTGCATAAAGTGAATTTCAATGCAAATTGTCAGCCAACCTCCGAACATTGTTTCTTCAGAGTGCGCAAAATGAGACGTTGGTCGATAACTAGTTGAATTGAATATGCTTTGAAATATAGTGTTGAAAGTAAGTTGTTGCCGTAAAGCCTGTATAGAATAAATATAAAAAATAAATTACTAATAAAGTTAAAATCGTTAAAATTGGGTTTTTTGTTTTTACCTTTATTGCCTCATAAAGATCAACGGGATGTATAAAAGGAATACGGTCAACTTTTCGTGCATAAGTCTGACCATGACTTGCAAAACTATATCTTTGCAAAGGTGACAACTCATCAATTTGCTACAAAAAAGAAAATAAGCCTATGTTATTTTCAAGTTAATTCTCATGCTGATTAATAAAATAATAATTATCACCATCTCCCAACGTGTTTCCAAACTTAGTGAACTTGAAAGTGTGGCCAATGTAGGATTCGGAACAGCATCTTGAATCTAGATATAAAGACTTACGAATATTTCATAATATGTACATTAAAGAAACAAGACTCGTAAACCATCATTATCATCACCTACTAGGAGTTTTTCTAAAGAAACGGTCTCTATCATATTACTACTATCAAACATTGAGCTTACAATGTGACCTGATTTCAAAATGATCAAAAATGTTAAAACATCTATCTATATAAAATAGAAATAATTGCATCGATTACTATGATCTATAACAATATCTCATCATTACCTCTGCTTTTTATTGAAGCAAGATTTCCAATCGCCCTTGCCACACTATCAGAAACATACACCGCTGGTTCAAGCCACGCCACAAAATGAACATATGCTGATTCGGTAGCGCCCTCGGTAGCGCTCTTTTTGGGGTATATAAATTTCAATGGTGGTGAAGGTTCTGATGTAATATGCGATGCAATGTTTGCGCAGGTGGTATCTGGGACAACGTCAAAGCTGAAGAAAAGGATTACTTAGAGATAGATAGATATAATTCCTAGTTCCTTTTTTTGAACATTAAATACCTCTGTTTGAGATTTTCGTCTATATCATCTCCTGCCAACAAATATGAGGTGTTTGAAGGCAAAAACACATTCATAACATGTGATTCCTCCATGGTGATCCATAGACGATGAAATCTTTTTAACGAGTCGTGCATGACATTCATTTGTCCTATAACAATTGATTATTTTTATGATAAATATTTTTTATATAAATAGATATATACCGAGAATTCTGTACATACCTCGATTCAAAATCTGCTTTATTACCGTTAGTTCCCAATTCGTCTCCAAAATAACGTAACGAGGGGCCCAAAAAGCAATAGAAGGACCAATTTTATCCATATTATTCAATGGAAGACCGTGACCATGTGTCAATATTCGAGAAGTATCATCTTGAACAATAGCCCTGATATTAAAAAAGGAATGATGATGATCCCTATCCAATACGCGTATATCTAAGAAACTATAACAATTAGTAAAAATTCTCACCGCTCTCTTTCATATATAGAAAATATATCGGTTCCAAGTGATTTCATCCGTTCAAAAAAAAAATCGTTTCCCATATATGTCTTGCAGAATTCGTCAAGTTTGTGCAATGCTGAAAAATTTTTCCGAAAAAGTTTGAAATTCCTGGATCTGAATTTCATTCAACGAGGTTTTTCAATATCAATTATTTTAAGTGGATCTCGTGTATAGTAACGAAAGACTCACTGTAACTGGGTGGTCAATAGATTATCAACCTATTCCGAGAAGCATAAGAAGCTTATTATGAAAATCCCAAGAATAAAAGAATCAAAGCAAAAGGTTCTCCTTTACATTAGGATCCTGAAGCGTTTCGGACCCATAATTAACTCTTGCTTTTAATATTTGTTGCGAAGTATCTTCAAATTCCACCTAACAGTAATAATTCATTCCAAAAGACAGGAAAGAGAATGAATATAGAAGTAGATCAAGAGAAATCGTTTAGGTATGGTTGAAAATTTTTCTCACGTCAAGAACTATAAGTTTTAAGACAATTGCCAAATTTGTTCTACTTGTTCCTATTTGTTCTGCAGTTTTTTCGATCAATGTTCCAGTTCTTTATGTTAAGATAAAAAATAAGAAATGATTCTCAAATCAGTAAAAAGACATGAAGTACGTATTACTCGTACCCGTGATCTTGGGCGATTCTCACAACCTGTTTCATAGTGAGATGTGAATCATCCATATAATCAGTACATGCATCTAAGATCATGCCTTTGCAAATATTTAAATTCTCTTGTGTATCTGTAAGAATTCCAGTAATCTGTGCCTTCTCCTATTAATATGAAGAATCAATAAGATTAATTTAATTCCTAAGATTGTCACAGAAAAATAATCAGAGCTACGTACTTTTAAATTATGAATATATTTACGTATATGCTGTTCTGCTTGTGGCCCACAATTTGCTGCACTAAGTAAAGAATCACGAAATCTTTTTAAAATTTCTCGTAACATATTTATGTTTTTGGAAAATTCAGTCGCGAGTTGAGACATGTTGACAGGGCCAAGTGGATGCACTAAATTTTTTATTGGTTAACATTCTTTATCTCTTAAGGCAAATATAACAGAACTATATATACCAGATAAAGACTGCGGAAAGGGTTTCACTTCAGGGCTGGTTCTATTTCCTTTTGCACTTTCTACACTTATGCCCCATTCTTCTTGAGCAGTTTTCAATAAACGAGTCAATTCTTGTGTAAAGTACAGAACTGTATGATTTGAGCTCATTGCAAAACCAAAAATTTCGATAGACAAAATAGGCAAAATGAATTATATCGATATGCAAGCGACGTTTTAACAAGATCTACATCATACCTTAAAGTGACTTTATTTTTGTTTGACACGCGAATTGAATCGGTTCTAAATCAGAGAGAGATAAGATAATATGACAAGTACAACTTCTGTACAATTCACAGTGGGGAAACTTGATGCTGGAATGGTAAGTTGAAAGTTTGTCTTGTCAATCCCTTTTTTTCAAAAACTCATAAATTACGAATTCCCATACTAAGGCCATCTTGTTGACCGAGGACCATCACCTCATAGAGTTTCCTTCACTATTACTGCCACCTGGTGTCACCTCAGGCAGTATAGTAAATATTGCAGTAAATAGAAACTACGAACAGGAAGAAGCAAAACGAAGAGAGTTTTTGGAATTACAAGAAGCGATTCTAAATGAATTTGGGAAAAATCCACCGGAGGCACCCAAATTACACGTAAAACACATTACACAGACATCAGTAATATTGGAATGGTCTCCATTGGTACTATATAAAGCAAAATTGAAGTCTTTGGATATTTATAAAAATGCGGTGAAATTAAGCCAACATGTACCTCCGGGAATCAATTTTATCAAGCTAAGCGGTCTCGAAATGGACACAGAATACGAGTTTCATATTACGATCAAAACAACAGCTGGATCATTCTTTTCGAATAAAATTCGCGTTCGAACGCACACGCTGGAAAATCTTACCGGGATTGTTGTTTGTTTCGGGGCGTTCTCAGAAAGTGATGATGGTGTACCAAAGAAAGATGAATTAAAAGAAATTCTGAAAAGAATTGGCGCGAGATGGAGTGATCATGTT